TATTACAACTATGCAACAAAGCCGAGTTTGTGCACAGAGTAACAATGATTTATTTCAATAAAGGCCGAATGCTGGTGTGTGTCACATGCTCTGTGTTGGATGAAGTGAAATAGCACACATACACACGTGTCCAAAACAAAATGTCGTATGCATCTGATATAGACACACACACACAGTCATACATACATCAACCTCTTGCCCTACATCTCACAGACATGCCAGCACATGTGACCTTGCTGCCTCCTGTTGGTGGTGAAATCAACTGGAAAAAATGACCTAGAGAGCAAGCCAATGGGGGGGGGGTTTAGATTTCAGACATGTTAGCATAGACTAACAGGAAACTTGTTCAGAAGGAAGCATACATGTGAGATGAAAACTAGAAAGCTGCTGAGAGTGCTCGTGTATATGTGTACCGCCTGAAGCTGCACTTAGCCGCTGCAATGGGTCTGCCTTTCAAGGAATGATGGCGGGTAAAAGGGTGCAGGATGGAAACTACTGTATGAATATGTGTATTGTTAATCACAAGAAGGGAGACAAAGAATATTAGTGTGTCACCATGAGCAACAAACTGAAGGAAAACTATGAAAGGCCATTAAAAGTGACCAACATGTCAACATATGATCAAAAAAAGAAAAAAAAATGAACAAATGTGGACTGGAATACATGTAAAAGTGCAATCAGATAAATCCTGATCTCAATGCTACATAGTTTATCTGGTTCTGTCGGCTAAATCTCAAAAGAGGATGTGGGACTATGTCATAAACTGTCTAGGAACTCAACTTCCCTCTTCCTCACAAGATAAAAATAATAGCAGTATAGACCCTAAAATGTTGTTTATATTTGTTCTGTGAGTGACAAGTGGTGTGACTCTCCATTTGTCATCTCCAAAGGTCTAGATGAGGACAGTATTAAAGGTCCCATCTTGTATAAAGGCCTGTTGTTACTAGAGCTCTAGAGAGAAGCCTGAGAGAGGAGATGTAAAACTACATTATGATGGTTTTTTGTTCTTAAAACCACAAATATCTTCTTATGGATATCAACACTTGAAATAAAACCACAAAAAATGTAAAATATGGGACCTTTAAAAACTAAACCTCCCATGAAAATTTACCAGCTCAGCAGTGCGGGAACAACTACATTTGGTTTCATACATATCCATAAAATTCTCCAACGTTCTTGTCTAAAGTCTTTTGTCCCTGCTGATAATAAACCTCTACATAGTTCACACCTCTGTGCCCTGCTGTTATTACAAACATGATGAACTAGCTCCACCGTCTTACCCCTTGACTTGCCTGTGATTGTTTAGGGCTCATGGGAAATGGTGTTTGTTAAAGGCCGCTTAAAATAGAAATCAAATAAACAACATTCGATTTTTTAAAGGTCTCATGTTTTGTACTTTTTCTGGTTTGTGTTGATTTATCAGAAAATATGTTTGTGGTTTTACCAACCAAAAACCATCCCAGTGTAGTTTTACATCTCCTCTCTCAGGGTTTTCTCTGGAGCTCTGGTAACAACAGGTTGGCGAGCCAATCAGAAGAGAGCAGGCTCTGAGCCGGTCTTGAGGCATGGTTGTGAGCGGGGACCGCTTTGTTGTGACATCACAAAGTTAGTTATAATAGAACTTATACCTTTGCAGTGTCAATCAACAGCCACAGAGGTGGAGTCTGTTTCTCCCTTCACTCTTTCAGTAGCTGTAATAAACTTTTATTTTGGATTTTGGTTCTCATTCAAAATTAGAGAGGTCATTAAGGTCATGTCATGTTTTTGAAATATTAGGGGGTCCAGACAAAATACTACTAATAGGACTGCAGAGGGTCTTGCTTATTTATAAAATAGTGGATGAGGCTAATGGAAGACTTTTGAACCCAGCTGGTTGAACTGCAAAAGACATGAGCAACTTACTTGGCAGACAAAACGAAAATCTTATGTCTCAAAAGTTCAATAACTCAGCCGTCACTTGCACAACAGAGTCAGATAATCTCTTCAAATTAAACTGCATAGTTCTACACTATGCTATCACTGTGTTGCCTAAGAGAAATATATGTTCTACATTAGGTACACCTTGTGATTTCACATTGTACATCACAGAAGACTGAGACTGAGATCAGTGTAATACAGCCGTGTTGACAGATTAAGTCACAAGGCCCAAGGCACCAGTAAATATCTTGTGGTGACGGCAAAGGGAAAAGAAGGTTCAGCCTTTGATGAGAGGACTGATAGGTCTCATATGGTTTGACAAGAAATGCTGAGTCACTGCTCCGACAGCCCACACACACACACACACAGATGCACTCTGACTTTACTCGTGATAAGACCTGGACTAGAATACAATGTGCTCAAATTTGCACAGCAGTGAGCAGATACAGAGAGTGACTTCCATGACAAAAGTCTGCATACTCGCATAGAAATATCACAAAAGAGCACTCATAGTTTTCACCGCAGCCTGAATATGAAGCAATGCTCATGTTTATGAGTAACACGGTTCAGTCAAACTGAAACTTAAGTGTCACACTGTAGTGTGGGATGATTTACTTAGTCTATGATCTAATAGCTCTTTTTTCCATATGCTCACACCTGTACACAGCAACCAGATGATAAACACCATTGACTGCTTATTGGTAGCCTTTATTACTACACATCTGCTAGCTAGAGTTTTACCAATGTAGTATCAGGAAAGGGACAGTGTCTGTCTCCTAACCAGAACCACGTTTGTTCTATGACTTGCCTTATGAGACTCTTCTGAAATGTCAAGAAAGAGTATCCTCACCATTGAGATACATAACCGAGTAATTTGATATTTAAAAAAATATGATTATTTTTTGGATGAGAAGATTGATAACACTCATATGTGTTTATTAAAGTCTTAGCATTAAGAACCGGAGTAGGGGGAAACAGCCAGCTTGAATCATTTGTCCAGAGGTAACAAAATCCACCTAGCAGCACCTCTACAAGCTCATTTATTAATATGTTGTATCTTGTTTGTTTCATCTGTTCTTCCCATCTGTATGCTAAGCTAAGCTAAAAGTCTCCTGGCTGTATAGCTGCCCTAACATCTTACTGGCCAGTAACTAGTAGCTTTTATCCGGCTGACATGTAACACAATGAAAGTCTCCCTGAGTCTTCACCTTGACTGCCGGTGAAGATGGGGATTCAGAGTCATTTGAAGTGATAGCTTAGCATAGTTTAGCTTAGCACAGCTTCAACAGATGTAGCAGAGGAAACAGGAAATGACAGGAATAATATGAACGAGTGGTATCGAGGATGTAAATTTGCTCGAGAAATTATGGCACTAATCAACATTGTAAACTTCTAACTTAACTAACTTAGAACTAAACATAATGAATTAATAATAAAAGAAATAATAATAATAGAAACAACATAAACTGCCACTTTTTCAAGGGAATTGAACGCAGCTCTGCTCTGTCATATTCCTGTTTTGTTGACCCATCCATCCACCCAAACCTCCTCCTGATGTGGACTTTGTCGCACTTTATACTACTTCACCACTCTTTTCCCTTTGCCCCTGTCATAATTACTACGACCACTGGATGCTGCCAAACAACAAAATGGGTCAAGTGTGATGTGGAAATTTGAAACTTTCAGTGCACAAACACACACACACACACACACTTAGAATGGACTTTTCAATCAACTTAAAGTAACAGTAAAAATTTTGAAATTAAAAATATTTACATTATAATAATAACATTAATGGATAATGACTTTTTCATTGAAGGAGTAGGTGTAATTTTCAGAATTTCCAACTGTGGTTTATCGTCATCATCATCATTTTTATTAATAATAATTCAAATATTTTTATGTCTTAAATAATATCAGCTGTACCACAGTATATCTGCAGGTCATTAAATCCAACAGATACACACTCCTGTTAAATTAAACAATAACTTCAAGCTCTATACAGCTTTAGAATTTCAAACACATAAGAGTCTGAAGCTTCACAGTTTGGGAATCCCCCGATGAACTTTCTCTCATGCGTGTCTCCTGCATCACATGGAACCCACAGAGTCTGGCCAGGGTGGATGTCTGGCTTCAGCAGCGCAACATTCATAATGTGCTTTTGTATTTATGGAAAAAAAACCAGTGAGACGGTACAGTCGACACGTATTAATACCACAAATGTTCATCGTCAGTGGTGCAGGCTATGCAGCGGCTTACAGGAAGCTGATGCAAGACCGCAGAGCGCATCTTCGAGTGCTCAAGCTTTAAAATGTGACTGCCTGTTCATAACGAAACTAAAACGTTGGATATGATGGCACAATTACACATCGTTTTGACTCATGATGACTGCATGGTATTCCATCCCTCCCTTCTGGGTCCCTCCCTGTATGGAAACCTTCCACTGGAATACAGGGAGACATGCTGTAGTCTGTCATTAATCGATAAAAGCGATTTGGGGGCAGTTCGGCTGTAAAAAAAAAAAAATCAAAGGCACGTGGTAGGGACACTGTGTGATTGAGAATGACAATTGTGATTTTCACCACGGGCAATTTTATTCTATCCGCAGAAATATAACTGCATCGAAGAAGTCATTACAATATCCTCTAATAATTATGACATTAGCTACTGTTGCTTTGTTTTCAATGACATGCTACTGCGGACTACGTGGGTGTCTACGGCTTCTCTATAAACTACAGTATTTTTGCTAAAGCGCAGTATTGTGAGGCAGAACATGCTCATGGATTAGAGCAAGGTCCATGTGAAGGATTAATGCAACCAGATGCGGCTGACGAAGCCTCTTGTTCATTTTAGCCATTTGATTGTTATACAGACATCATTAAAGGATGAAGAGAAGCGGTGCCTCTGTGACCAAATCATCAGCACTGATCGGTAAAGATGTTGCAGATAACAGAGGAAACATCCATTTCAGCTGTGGTCATGTGGACACACGGATGTTCACGCTGCTGATGCTGAGCAGCAGCCGCATCTAGCGCATCCTTCAAAATCGCCACCAGTGTTACACATGAAATAAACGGGCTTACCTTGAAATGTAGCTACGTTAATTAGTCCGGTTCTTCTCACACAGTGTTCTGTCATTCGTGCCGTGTCGGAGGAAAGGCTAGAGATGTGTTAGCCTACATCAATTGTAACGCTACGGGTTAGCGCCCCTCTTTTATGGAGAGAGCGGGTTGTAATCGTGGTGTAAGCAGCGCCGTATGGAGGGCGATAAGTGCCACTAAAGAGGAATATGCTTTTAGCTTCAGACCTGGAAAAATAAAATAAAGTAAAATAATATTGAATTTATGATAGGCTATAGAATAATAAAAATGTTTTTTTTTTTAATAATAGAATGAATAATGATTTTTTAAATTATTATTAAATTAACAAAAACAAGTAAAATAGATCTTTTCTTTTTATTTAAGCTATTTTTATTTCAAAATTCTTGAGTATTTTGATATAAATTTTATATTTTAAATATTTTATTATAGGTTTATAGGATCCTGAGTGGCTTAGCAACTCCATACATACATACTGACAGTCCCTCCCTCTATACTATACTTGTTAGTAATGTTTTAATACCATGATGCCAAAACTCTCAAGTCAGACGGTATTTCGGTCCTGTACCTGAGAGAACATCAGTTCAGGAGGTGTGGCTGGATAGAGAATGCTTTCAGTGGCATTCTCAGCTTGATGTGGATTGATTTAATGATCTGCTCAAGAGAACAGGATCCCAAATAACCCCAAATTTATGACAATCCGAGGATACTGAATGTAATATGAAATGCTGGTATTGACAGTGATTGGCTGTAGGTAATGTGCATTTTAATAGTAGAACATCAGCGTGTGGGATAACTAGCTTTAATGCAAGAGAGGCCATATGGGTGAGAGATACTTGCATATCATATTTCTCTTTCTATCTCTCTGTCTTTTTTGAAATGAATCATCATACAGTCCCCGCAATCAGGTGACTATATGTATATATGCTAGTGGTTCTCAACCTGTGGGCCAGGGCCCACTGGTGGTCAGCAAAGGTATCGCATGTGGGCCGAAAAAATAATTTGCAAAAGTATAATTTTGGTGAAAAGATGTAATTATAGAAAATAAATAAATAAATAAATTGTGTTTTTAAATGTTTTAAAATGAAATGATCCCTATAAACATTAAAAATGTTTTAAAACTCTTTTCATTGTCTAGGAACTTTTATTCACCACATCAAAGAGAGAGAAAAATTGAGCTTCCTACATGTTTCATCTGCTTTCAGTTCAATTGGAATGTTTGATCATTAAAATAAAAAGTGCTCTGAAAAGGCATTATTTGGCCTCTGTATTGTTATGGGGTTGGATGTGGGCCGCCATCATTTTTGAGTTTTTTAAAGTGGGCCATGAGATGCAGAAGGTTGGGAACAACTGATGTAAATGTAAGTAATGTACATCAATGATCATTTTACTTCAGTAACTGACAAAAAAAAAGTCATAAAAAATAAAATCACACATTGTTGGACCACACTTTTAGTTGGATCAGAGTGGAGCTTTTCCTCACAACACAACTTCTACAGAATTCTTTGTTTTAGTTTCAGTTTTAGACTTTGGATGGAAATATTTTTCAATATCATTTCTCCGTGTAATGATCTCTTCTTTCATCTAAGTGCTCTGTGCTGTGTTTTCACTACTACAATTAATTCTCCCATTTACTCATTCAGGGTGAATGAGAGATGAAAGTTTAGGCCTGTTCTAAAGGCTTTTTTAACTGTAAGGTCTAGTCCTCGACTGGCCCTTTTAAGTCTTAAGAAGGAAAAGTCACCTTCTGAGTTTTGCATAAAAATAATCCTTGATTTGAGATAATTTAGGTTGAAATTATCTGATTTTGAAACCACACCCGCACCAGCTAGTGGCATTATGAGAATAGCTACAAAAGTCTGTTAATATAGAAACATTTAACAGTATTTAATTTTCCTTTAAAGCCCTTCAATATGTAGTCTCTTTGTTCAACTTCTCCTGCGGCTTTGTTTTTGGCACTAATCACCTCCTATACATAGACTCACTGAATTCAGGAGAAACCCTCTTGACCAATGATGTTCAACCCCTGTGGTGCTATCAGCTCTGGACCAATGGCTGCACTGAAGAGTCAAGCTGAACCAGCAGTTGATGGTTACCAGGATGACTGATGAGTAGCTTTGCAAAGTTCATAATACAGGATTCAAATATGTGTCACTGACCATATAGCCTGTGGCATTTCCTGTCACTCCATTTACAGGGAAGGTAAAATTGAATTACATCACGGTGGAAAATTTGATTTTTATGATGCTCTTCTTCGGTTCATTTCTCAAAGTGAAATACAGTATGATAGTGTGTCAGTAATGTTTATGACTATGTGCATATTCAGGTTTAATATATTTACTTTGCTTCCTTAAAACCAAACTGAAGAATCCATCCAATCTCATAAGCAGCATAAAACATCCCTAACATTTGTTGGGGGTTAGAACGTGTGTATGGCTGCAAACAAATCCAGCAGAAGAACTGGCAGCAACATGGACTGCAGTGCTTAGGGCAGTGGTTCTCAAACTGTGGGGCGGGCCCCTCTGGGTAAGCATAGACCCACTGCAGGGAGGGGAGTGAATATGGAGTGAAACTAAGTTGAAAGAATATTTATGTAGGGGAAATGAAACAAACAAAAATAAAGTTTGCTGACGCTATCATTCTGACCTTTGTTTCATTAAAATTCAACTTGGATCCTTTTTTGTGACTTGCTTCTCCTGTCACTGTTAATGCGGGGTGGGCAAACATTTGAGAACTGCTGGCTTAAGTGGGCATTTCAAATTGGGAGAATATGGGAAATAATCAGCAAACACAAGTGGAATATTGATATATAACATGTGACATTAGGATATTGCTGAAAGCACAGTTGAGCTTAAATTCGGACTCAATGCAATATTGGTTGTGCACTCGTTCAAGTCTCTCTTACAGTAAAAAAATAGTCGGAAGCCAATATGTACATTAACAGTTTTTACTAGCTGTAACCATTCATCCTCTTCACACTGGCAATGTCCTAAAATGCTTCTAATGTAAATGATGAGAGAGAAATTTATAGTCTTCATCCTGTGCAAGGCTTCTGCAGTCTGACTTAGACAAATCAAATGGATATCATCCAAAGTTACTCTGTGTGTTACTGTCCATCCACTGCAGCTCAGGATGGACATACTGTAGACAGGAAAAAAGGCTCAGTAAATAAATGACTAAAGCTTTTAGAGGCATATTGCAGCATTTCTGATTGATTTCTGTGACATATACTGTATTGTAACATAGTCCATGCAATGAAGTATCCCCATTCTTTTTTGTTGTAAAGGAATCTCAGTTGATGCTACATAAATAAATAAAATCTACTTAAAAAAACAATAGTGATACATTTTGTAATGCTGTTAACTACTGTTTTGACGTATCGTTTTGAATGTCAGATTAACCATTGAGCTGCATGTTGGTTCAGAGACCCGTATGAACTGTTTGGAAAAAAGTGAACTCAATAGAGAGAGAGAGAAAAAAAAATCCACCAAACAAAGACCAGCAGTTTCAACATATCACCACTAGAGTGTGACATTACACTAATCTATGTAGCTCTGAGGAATTCTCTACTGGTCTTACAAAATGCAAGTTAAGTGGCATTCAGAAACCAGTATTTTTCCCACTTTGTATAGGTGACCTGTAAATCTGTTGGAGGGTACTAACATGCTATTCTAGGTATTTATTTTACCATTAAGACTTCTGAAGACAACTGAAGTGAGTGATACATGGGGTGTGGCTTTCCCAGGAAAGTGTAAGCAACAGTTGGAAATAAGGCCACGTCAGTCAGATACTATATGAGGCTTCAGCATTCTGACAGATCAAATGGAAATCATCCAAAGTTTCAATCGTTTCTGTACCAAATTCCCTCTTTGTGTTACTGTCCCTCACTGCAGCTCAGCATGGAAACACTGTGTGGACACACAAGGAGGGAATTTTATACTAAAAACACTGTAACTTTGACTTCAGATAAACTTTGGAGAATATTTTTGATTTTGTCTCTCTCTACCTCCCCCTGACATGTTAGAAAGAGATCTCCTGGTCGATATAGACAGGACCAATGATCGCAGCAAGAAAAGCAGTTCCAATGTGGATATGGTATCTAACTATTGTTTTAAGACAGACTTGAAAAAGTGTGAGCCAGTCCTTTAGATGTAATGAAGTCTAAGTTGGGTTGGACTCTTATCTCGTGTTTACAGCTACTGTACAACTTTTATGAACTGCAGCGTTATCAGTCTCATGTATCTATCTATATACTTTTCTAATGGGCTGTCTTCCAACCTGCAGTTCCAACCTCTCACCACTAGAGTGTGCCGTCACATCTTTGTATTGGTCTTGTAGGATGAACAATATTAAGAGCTATGTGTTGTAGAATGAAAAAATTATTTTTTGTTTGTTTTCCAAGTTTATCCTGGTGACCTGTATTTACATGAAGTGTCACTGTGATATACTATAAAGGGGGTTATCTTGCTGTAAAAATCTGGAGTGAAACCTGAGTTCAAAGCTCAATGTGACATCACTAGTGTAAGGTGTGGCTTCTAGGAAATAGAAAGTGGTTACTTGAAGTGCTCAGTCAGTCGGTTTGACGGAGAAAGGAAGAACAAAAGGAGCCATGGCATCTACTTCTTACACTGAAGATTTGACTTGTCCTATTTGTCTGACGATCTTCACTGATCCTGTAATCCTCCCATGTGGTCACTCTTTCTGCAGAGAATGTATTTCACTTTCTCTTAGTAAACTGTGCCAGTGTCCACAGTGTCGGGCAGCTGTTCCAAAAGAAGGGAAATGTCTACTGACCAATCACATTTTGAAAAGTCTGGCTGAAAAAGAAGCTGAGAAGCTGAAGGGAAAGCATGGAGGTGGAGAGGTAAGTTTTTAAAACACTTTTTTTTACATATTCATGTGTAGTGAAGCCAGTGGTATTAGAGAGAAATATTAGAAAAGAAATGATCTCTGTAGCCTCTACAGTATCTAAATGTTATATATATCTATTAATAGTAGTAGTCTACTATAAAAAAAAGAAAAGGCACCTTTTTTGAAAATCGATTAATTGTTTCAGTCATTTTTAAAGCAAACAGTTGCTGGTTGAAGCTTCTTATATGTGAGGATTTCCTGTTTTTTTTTTGTTATATATCATTTATCATATTTAAAGTGCAATCCTGAGAAGATTACACTTTAAATGCAAGTAATTGGTTTCAGCTCAGTTCAAACCCATGTGTTGTCAATGCGGCAACAGCAGCCATGATGCCATGGTAATGGCAGAAACGTCTAGTGCTGATAGTCTCATTTCACTTCTGCTTTCGTGGTCACAAAAACCCCTGAAGTGCTGTTGACACAGACAATGTTAATTAGCCTATTGGAAAAAAAAACTTTTTCTGGAGTTTTCTAAACTGTTTAAAGCACAGACAGCTTAGCGTAAGTAAACTTCTGACCCGCTGGAATTGTGATGTAGTGAATTAAAAACAAAACAGTCTGTCTGGAAGCAAATGTTGGAAATATTACCTGTTCAATGCAAAAAAAAAAAAAAAATGCCCTGACCGATGAAATCTGGGGAGTGGTTTAAAAAAAAAAAAAAAAAAAAAAGTTGTAATGACTTCTGCCTAAGTGATTGTAAACTCCTGACTTCAGCTGTAGTTAGTTATAACCCTACATTATAGTGTCATTGATTTCTCTCCTCCTTGTAATTAATACTAGTAGAACAGGAAAAAAGGCTCAGTAAAAATAAATGAGTAAAGCTTTTAGAGGCATATTACAGCCATTTCTGATTGATTTCTTGTGACATATGCTTGTATTGTAACATAATCCACAGCATCATGAAGTACCCATTTCTTTTTTGTTGTAAAGGGAATCTCAGTTGATGCTACATAAATAAAATAAAATCTACTTAAAAAACACATAGTGATACCCTTTTGTAATGCTGTTAACTACTGTTTTGACGTATCGTTTTGAATGTCAGATTAACCATTGAGCTGCATGTTGGTTGCAGGAGACCCGTATGAACTGTTTGGAAAAAAGGCGAACTCAATAGAGAAGAGAGAGAAAAAAATCCCACCAAACAAAGACCCAGAAGATTTCAAGCATATCGCCCAGTTCTGAGTGTGACATTAATACTATCTATGTACTCGTGAGGAATCTCTACTGGTCTTAAAAAATGCAAGTAAGTGATTAGAACAGTATTTTTTCCCACTTTGTATAGGTGACCTGTAAATCTGTTGGAGGGTACTAACATGCTATTCTAGGTATTTATTTTACCATTAAGACTTCTGAAGACTACTGAAGTGAGTGATAAATGGGTGTGGCTTTTCCAGGAAAGTGTAAGCAACAGTTGGAAATAAGGCCACGTCAGTCAGATACTATATGAGGCTTCAGCATTCTGACAGATCAAAATGGAAATCATCCAAAGTTTCAATCGTTTCTGTACCAAATTCCCTCTTTGTGTTACTGTCCCTCACTGCAGCTCAGCATGGAAACACTGTGTGGACACACAAGGAGGGAATTTTATACTAAAAACACTGTAACTTTGACTTCAGATAAACTTTGGAGAAATATTTTGATTTTGTCTCTCTCTACCTCCCCCTGACATGTTAGAAAGAGATCTCCTGGTCGATATAGACAGGACCAATGATCGCAGCAGAAAAGCAGTTCCAATGTGGATATGGTATCTAACTATTGTTTTAAGACAGACTTGAAAAAGTGTGAGCCAGTCCTTTAGATGTAATGAAGTCTAAGTTGGGTTGGACTCTTATCTGCGTGTTTACAGCTACTGTACAACTTTTTATGAACTGCAGCGTTATCAGTCTCATGTATCTATCTATATACTTTTTCTAATGGGCTGTCTTCCAACCTGCAGTTCCAACCTCTCACCACTAGAGTGTGCCGTCACATCTTTGTATTGGTCTTGTAGGATGAACAATATTAAGAGCTATGTGTTGTAGAATGAAAAAAATATTTTTTGTTTGTTTTCCAAGTTTATCCTGTGGACCTGTATTTACATGAAGTGTCACTGTGATATACTATAAAGGGGGTTATCTTGCTGTAAAAAATCTGGAGTGAAACTGAGTTCAAAGCTCAATGTGACATCACTAGTGTAAGGTGTGGCTTCTAAGGAAATAGAAAAGTGGTTACTTGAAGTGCTCAGTCAGTCGGTTTGACGGAGAAAGGAAGAACAAAAGGAGCCATGGCATCTACTTCTTACACTGAAGATTTGATTGTCCTATTTGTCTGACGATCTTCACTGATCCTGTAATCCTCCCATGTGGTCACTCTTCTGCAGAGAATGTATTTCACTTTCTCTTAGTAAACTGTGCCAGTGTCCACAGTGTCGGGCAGCTGTTCCAAAAGAAGGGAAATGTCTACTGACCAATCACATTTTGAAAGTCTGGCTGAAAAAGAAGCTGAGAAGCTGAAGGAAAGCATGGAGGTGGAGAGGTAAGTTTTTAAAACACTTTTTTTCTTTTACATATTCATGTGTAGTGAAGCCAGTGGTATTAGAGAGAAATATTAGAAAAATAAATTATCTCTGTAGCCTCTACAGTATCTAAATGTTATATATATCTATTAATAGTAGTAGTCTACTATAAAAAAAAAAAGAAAGGCACCTCTTTTTTGAAAATCGATTTAATTGTTTCAGTCATTTTTAATAGCAACCAGCAGTTGCTGTGTTGAGAAGGCTTCTTATCAGTGTTGATGCGAATTTTTCCTAGTTTTGTTTTTTTTTTTAGCTCTATATTTTAGTTGCATGGATATTCATATTTGTTTATAATATCGTGCATATCCTGAGAAAGATTAACACTCTTTAGAT